TATATTAAAAATATCATCAAGAAATATGAAATGGACAATGCTAAACTAATGACTACACCTATGAGTTTTTCAAGTCAATTAAATAAGGACCCTAAAGAAAAATTTATTGATAAAAAAAAATTTAGAGGTATAATTGGATCATTACTTTATTTTACTACTAACAGACTAGATATAATGCTCAGTGTTTATTTCTGTACTAGATTTCAATCTTATTCAAAAGAATCACATTTGATAGCAGCAAAAAAATTTTTGAGATATCGCTTGGGAACTCAAAACCTAGAGATTTAGTATCCTAAGTACAGTTCTTCGTTTAAAATTATTGGGTATTCTGATTCAAATTTTATAGGTTGTAGGATTGATATGAAAAGTACATCTAAAACTTGTCAATTCATATGAAATTCTTTAGTTTCTTGCTAGTAGAAAGCCTAATTCAATAGCCCTATCTACTGCTGAGGCAGAGCACATTACATTAAGTAGTTGCTTGGCACAAGTTCTTTCGTTGAAATAATAATTGATTGATTTAGGATTTTTAATTGACACAATTCTAATTTTTTATGATAAAACTAGTGTCATATGTATTTCAAAGAATCCTATTCAACTTTCTAGAATCAATCATATAGACATAAAACAACACTTCATTAGAGATCATGTAGCTAAGGGAGATTAAATTAAATAATATTACTACGAAAAATAAAATTGTAGATATTTTCACAAAACAACTGGCCTTTGACACTTTCACCACCTTAAGAACTAGGTTAGATGTGATTGATCTTAATGCTTAAATAGAAAATTCTGCAAACTTGATGTATTGTATATATGTGTCTATTTAGTTTATTTATGTTTGTTTTCTTTATTTGTCTTTCTGTGTTTAATTTTTTTTTCATTTTTGTTTTTTTTTTACTGTGAAGCATGTTACTTGATGAAAAATGTTTAGTTTTGAGAAGATTTTTTTATTATCATGACTTATTTTATTAGTTTTATGTTCGTATTATATGAAAGTTTTTCATCCCGTATGATTTCTATAGCATGTACATGGTAGGTTTCGGAGTTGAACATGTAAAACTTAGTTTTTCATAGGATTCGTACTATTCAATGATGTTATCATATTGTACAATTTGTATAGTTTCATCTGTATTCCTGGGGACGGTTTACCAGTTGGAGTCAATTATTTATTATTGATCGTACCTATGAAATTGTCTTTTGTCTGTACAATCCAATTGTTAGTTTCTGTGGGGGACAAACCTAACCATCTTTAAAATGATCTTTAATATTTTGATCATCCTGGACATCTGTATCATCGTTTGGTCAAAAAGCCTGCACGAAAGGACACCTCAAAATGGCATTTTATAAAAAGTCATTTTATTTTTGGCCGTTTCTGTTCATACGTACGAAAATAGTTTCATCCCATATGATTTTAAATCATATTTATGATTCATATTTTTCACAGTACGATAGCTCATTTTTCCTTTAAATAGAAGAGTCTTTGAAATCGTTTTCTTTCACTTTCATATCCATTTCAAAACCCTGTAGAGCCCTCATCTTAGTAAATGACAAGTTCTAACAAATGACCCTATTTTTCTAAGGGTTCCTCTTCTAGAAGTGGTGGGAATGATAACTTCTTATCCAAGGCAAATGATGATGCCTATTTTAGGTATTTTGCTATCAAAATAAACCCTTCTAAACTTCTAAGTCAGGGTGATCTTCACTTTTCCATAATGCCCTTATTTTCTTCAACTCAACTCTCTTTCATTCCTACTCTCATTTATTCCTATCATAAAGAAACTTTCCAATATTTCTTAGATGATATGAGAGTTAATGAGGACCACTCTAGGATTACTTCTTATGTTCAGAAACAACGAGTAGAAATTACCAAGAAAGATTTAGGTAACTTTCTTCATTTTAGAACCCAAGGGATTCGAGCCCACACTTTGATTTATAGGGCCAATTTTGATTGGAATAAAATTAATAGAACTCTTAGAGGTGTATCCCAAATGTGTCATTTGTCTATGGTTTATACTCTAAATCAAAATGCTTGGGTCATCCAGCATGTTTTGAGAACTTCTATTATCCCTAAAGCATGTGATCGCATAAATATGACTCCACTTTTGCCACACTTGCCTATCTGATTATGACTGAAAAACTCTTTGATGAGGCCCAACTTGTCATGAACTATATTTACAATCATTCTGAAATTGGGCTTCCACACCATAAGAGGAAAAAAATGGTTTTAGGACATTTAGTTGTCAACATCCTAGAAAAGAAGTACAATCTGATCCATCCTGATCCACCCAAAGAACTTCCTATCTACTTCACTGATGTCTCTTTCCGTGCACCTTTTGGGCGAGATCAGAGTTTATAGAGTGATGATTCTGAGAAAGAAGGGGAACTCCTACTCCAGCACCTGCACTTGGACCTAACCAAAACTACTATAAAAAAATGGTCTAGCGCTTCGATCGATTGGAAACTCATGTTGATCAATGCTTTGATCAAATTGAGTATCACATTAACTAGCAGGATGCTTGTTATAATGAAGATATGGGGTGGATCTGAGGATAGTTTGACTCGGAGAACATGAACGTTGGTATAATTAGGAGTTATTTTTTAATGTTCATTCCATCACCTCTTCTTGACTAGGGCCTCTCAGATTTTTAGATGTACTTCTATCCTATTATTGCCTTTGAGTTTCTATATTTAATGTTCTGATGTTTTCTTCTATGAGATTAGTGTTTTTATATGTTATTTTAAATCTACGTGATGATGATTGTTACTTGTTGTTATGTATGGTATAAATAAAATGTTTGTATGTGATCCTTTATAGCAATACAATGTGGTATATTTTTGACATGTTTTAAATCTTAATTCTTGAAATGTTTGTATTTTTAACAAGAAAAATCTTTTGAAATTTATCGTTGAAATGGATTATAAATTACTTTTCTCTACAAATTAATTTAATTACAAAATTTAATCTCTCAAAAAATTTAAATTAAAGTTATAGCTAGATTTAGATAAGAAGACCAATTTCATATTCTTTTGGATAAACATATTTAAGCTGTAATTAATGCAAGATTGATGTCTTATTATTTTTTATTTTCTTTTCAATATGTTTATTTTTGTTATTTGTGGAATTTAAATTTAGATTACTGATATTGGAAATACTCTGAAAGTAAAAAAAAAGAAGGAAATACACAATATGTGCAAAAATAAAAAGGACGTGCAATGGTTCGCAAAGTGAAAAGAGATAAAAAAAATTAGTCCAAATAGAAAAGATGCACAAAGTGTGCCATAAATATTTGAAAAGATGTGCAACGTCGTAAATTAAAAAATTTTATTATGTTCTTTCTACTACCATTCAATCTCAAATCTAAATCTATCTAATTAACAATCATATATATTATTGATTTTGAAGTTAACTAATCTTCATTTTGACATTTTTGTAATAATCTTCATTTTGATTGTATTATAAGATGTCAGTTCGTACACAGGTAAATCAGAGTACGAAATCGATTCATACTGAATCGTATGAGCAAATTTTGAACTATTCGTACATACGATCGGCGATCATACTGTACGATCGTGGACGATCAAATTGAAACATTTCAATTTTCTGTATAGCTTTTCGTGTCTTTCATATATAAGGTCCTAAAAACTAATACTAAACGAATCTTTATTCGTGTTTTTTTAGAGCAAAGGTGATAGTGATTTGGGAGAGTATTTGAGAGAGAGTTATTGCAAGTTGAGAGTGTGAAGGGTTCACAAGGCTGCCCAAAGGTGAGAATCTCTTTATAAATGGGAAAAATCTCTTCCTTACTTCTTTGAAAACGCTCGAGAGAAGATCTTTGAAGAAGATCCTGTTCTCTGTCGACACCAGGAGGGTTTGTTCTCTGCCGACACCAGGAGGGTATGAAAAGATGACAGCTCTCTACTGAAACGAAGAGAGTGTGAAAGAACTTAGGTTCTTTGCCGATATTTGGAGAGTGTGAAAGGACGACGGTTCACTACCGACACTTGGAGAGTGTGAAAAGACGACAGTACTCTGCCGAACCGAAGATTGGTGGAAGAGAAGTGTTTTGTAAAGGCTTCTCCACCTTACTGTGGGAGTAATAGGAAAGTCACTTTGGTAATAGTATAATACCTGAAGAGGGAGTCTTCAAGGAGTGGACGTATGTCTAGTTGGACAAAACCATTATAAATTTGTGTTTTTATTTTTCTGTATTTTTTATTTTTTTGCATATTTTAATTTTTTATGGTTGAAAAGTCTTTATTTTGTTAAAACTTTTAATTGTACAAAAAGCTTAAAATGATTTTCTACAAAAATTTGTAAGAGATTTTTTAAATTACCAATTCAACCATTCTCTTGGTTAGCTTTGATTACGTTATGTCTAACAACCTACATGGACTTTCAAAAAGTGGCTAGGAAAGGTTAGATTGTTCATTCATTTAATGAGGATATTTACAAAATGCTATAGAAAGAATAATTAAAAATAGCTAAATAGAATTACTGGAAAAAAAAAAAAATTGCCCATTAGATGTTCACCTCCTTTAAAGCCTGTCAGGCACCGATGGACATCATATGAGTAATCTTAAGTTCCCTTCCTTTTTTTTCTTGTACAAAGATCTATGAGATACTTATTTTCTAACTTGAATGTGTGACATGTAGTTTCATCTTTTCATCCCAGGCATTTTTGCTTGCTCCAGTAGAGACACTGGCCTTTGGTCACCACAAGGCTTTTCAGCCTTTCAACATGAAATAATTTTGTTGATCATATTTGGCTTATGGGAACATTGAAAGAAAAATATGGATCGAAGTTGCAAAGTGATCTACTTTCTCGTGAAATGAGAAATTCAACAAGGCAAAATTAAGCGCTGAGATAATAATTTATCATAATAGGAAATGTTTATGTTGAATACTACTTCGACTGGTCCATAGTTCCCACATTTCTCAGCACATCTTGATGTCTCACATTGTATGTGGCACCACGTGGTGTGGAAAGATTCAAGACTTGCCGCTAACCAATTTTCATTAGACTGCAGAGCCTCATCTACAGAGATGTTTCTCTATACAAAATGTTGTAAAGGAGTGGCATCTCAAATTCGTTCTTCAAATATACTGTCAAGAATTAGACAAAGCCAGACCCTTTCTAGCAGTTATACCCATTTTGAATGGTTTTGATACTCAATAAATTATATACAATAATTATGACCCAGTAAGCAAGGGAAACGCTTTACACGGGCAGCCATCACCGATGTGCCATGAATGAGAGTGCAAAAAGTTGCTGAGTTTGGCTTTGTACTAGTTCTGATCATATCATCATACAAGGCAAAAGCCTTCTGCATCTCACCTTTTAATGCACACCCATATATCATAAAATTGTAAGCCAGAGTGTCAGGCTTAATTCCCCCACTCAACATCTCATGCCAACGTTTAAATGCTTCCTCTAAATTACCTTTTCTGTTGTTCTCATAAATAAGTGTTGAATAACTTATGCAGTCAGGAAGAAAATTAGAGTTCCTCATTTCAACAAAGAGATTGGTGGCATCTTGAATCATCCCTTCTTTACAGAAGCCCTTTAGTAAAATATTGTAAGTACTTGTGTTCGCTAGCTTCTCCCTCAGCATCGCAATATGTAAATTTACAGCTTCTTCCATGTTTCCTTCACTCACAAGGTGATCTAGGAAACAGCCAAAAGTAAAATGATTTGGAAAGAAACCGTTTCCCAACATTTCTTTACAAAGAAGCTTAGCTTTCCAAGAAAACCCAGCCTTGCATAGGCCATCTATTAACACAGTATATGTGACAGTATTTGGAGCAAATCCCTGGCATACCATCCTGTTCCAAAAACCCATGGCCTCTGTGAGTTTTCCTACTCTGGAATATGTTTCAATTATGTTGGTATAGAGAATGTGATCAGGCTTGATTCCCCCATCAACCATCTCCTTCAACAGCATATAGGAATAGAAAAATTCATGATGTTTAAGAAATCCGTGAATAAGAACACTGTAGCAAACAATATCCATTTGAACTCCTCTCTCTACCATCTGCTTCCAAACCAGGTAAGCTTCCGCTATTCTTCCTTCTCTGCAGAATCCATAGAAAAGGGCACTACAGGAAATGTTGTTCAACCTTTTATTTTCATTGCATATATCATCCGCAAGTTGCATGGCTTCAGATGTTCTACCAGTTCTACACAACCCAGATATTAGTGGTCTGTAGGTATAATTATCTGGTACGAGGCCTTTTGCTAACATTTCATCATATAGGTTGAAGGCCCTGACAGTATCTCCCCTCATGCAATACCCTTCTATCATGACATTGTAAGTCACTTCATTTGGCTTCACATTGCCTTGAACCATTTCATCAAATAACTTGGTTGCCTCCTCCATGTCATTAGCACGGCAGAACCCACTAATAAGAGCAGTGAAAGAATGTGTGTTCCAGGCCACACCCCTTCCAGGCATATGGCAATGAAGCTTCAAAGCAGCTTTCAAATTTCCTTCTCTGCAGTACCCACTTATGAGGGACGTATAAATTAAAGCATTTGGTACCAAACCATTGTTCATGATCTCCTGCAGTAGAGTCTCAGCAGTGATCAACTTCCCTGCCCTGCAATATCCGTTTATTAGGGAACTATAAGGATACAAAGAAACCTGAAGGCCTTCCTGCTTCATTTTATCAAAAAGAATGTGGGCATTCTCTAGCATCCCCCGCTTACACAATGAATCAATCAATATAGTGTAAGTAACATCATTTGGCAGCAGACCTTTGCCTCTCATCGCAATGAAAAGTGATTCAGCCTCTTCAAACTTCTGACTTTTACACAGAGAATTGATCAGCGCGTTATAAGAAAACAAATTGGTAAAGATTCCCATCTTCCCTAGCATCTCAACCAAATCAAAAGCATCTTGTATTTTACCATCCTTTCTAAGCTCGTCCACCACCAAAGAAATGGCAGCATCAGTTGGAACCAATCCTAACCCCGTCATCTCCTTCAACAATTCCAATGCCATACACAGCTCCCTTGCCTTGCAGAGTCCAATAATCATCGTACAATAGGTCACTTCATTGGCCAGCAAGCCTTTTTCAGGCAAGGAATTCTTCACTTGCAGCGCTTCCATAACTCTTTGATTCTTGCACAATCCATGAATCAACACGTTGTATGTAGTCAAGCTTGAAGCACCAAATTCTCTGCTCTCCATCTGAAAGATCAAATCCCAGGCCCTGTCCAAATTATTCATCTCGCAGAAGCTCTTCACAACCGCGGTGTAGATAAATACGTCAGGCAGGACCCTAGTCTTCATTTTCATATCATCGAACACCTGAACTGCGCGATCAAAGCGCCTTATTTTGACCAGTCCGTTGATGAGGTCGCTGAATGTACGCACCTCTGGGATCATTCCAGCTGACATGGAAAGCCTGAGGATGGCGAGGGCGTCGAGGACGTGCCGGGCTTGGATGTAAGCTTCGATGAGGAAGTCAAGTGCCGAGGAAGAGGAGGCGGCGCAGGCATGGAATGAAAAGGAGAAAGAGTAAAATGCTTCGGCGGGGGAGGTAGGGCGGGAGACGAGAGATTGGAGGAGGGAGGAGGCAGGCCAATGCAGTCCAGAGCGAAGGAGGGAGTGGACGAGAATGAAGAAACAGAGGGGGGAGTGGGGAAAGCGGAGATGGAGGCCGAGAAAATTGAAGAAGCGGAGGGCGAGGCGAGGTTGATCAGAAATATGGAGAAGAAGGAGCTCGACGTGGCGCGGCTGGAGGCGGGAGGAGATAAAAGGGCTGGAGAGAGCGGTAAGCCAGCTCTGGTGCTTCGAGAAGACGATATCGAGGAGGATCTTCACGAAGCCCTCGTCCATCTCTGACGATGAAGACGATGACGATGAGCTGGAGAGTGGTCGGCTTACGGAGATACGGACGAGGGGATGGAGACGAAAATGCCGCATGTTCGCTTGGTAGAGATCGGGAACTGGTGTAGACACCTTGTTGAAGAATGTGATAGGTTTAAGCGTCTCTGATTTGCCACTGTAAAATGATTTGGTGTCGTTTCATGAATAACAGCTCCATCTGTATCTGATAATTGAACGCTGCATTATTTTCTGGAACAAAAGAGAAATGAGAAATGTAAAAAAAAGGAAGATGAAAGGAGCGTTGATGATGATCGCCATACAGGCGGTGTTGACCAAGGGGGAGGTGCCGATTGTTCATGCAGGAAGAAACAGAGTTCAACGGTTCGGGCCCTGCTCAGATGCAACTAAAAGAGAATTTCGAAGGCCCTCTAGATTCAGATTTATTAAATGAGATTGTTAATTATTGACGGCCATTTAATAAGAAGTAAGTTAAATTTTGATAAATCATGTGATTGTTTAATGCTATTTGGATTTAAAGAAGTTAACTCATATGATATTTTTTTAATAAAATTCAACTAAAATACTGATAGTTCATACAAATACATCAACGTAGTAAAGATAATTCATATATGAAGAGCATTAACACTAAGACAACTAGATAGATAACCACAAGTACATTAAACTTGTTTTTTTTTTTTACTGGTTCAGTGTCTTGTTGCTATTAAGTGAGATAATATGTCAAAACTTTAGCTTTAAAAAATTAATGATAATAAACATAATAAGATAAAAGATTTATATGTGATTGCCCTAAATTTGTTACAATTGAATGACTTAGGGCATCATCTTGTATTCTCTCTTTACAACTCCTACAAGTTTGGGTTTTCATCATGGACTTGAACCTCACCCAAATCACCATCTTGATGTCTTTTAATTTATGACATGTTATAGTATATATTGTGCTCATGTTAGTGTTGAATAAAAATGTTGAAGTTTACATAGGTGAGCACAATGTAATGGCTACAGGAATTGTTGCATATTGTGCTCATGATAATGTTGAATGAAAATGTCCTCTTCAGCACATAATGTAATTAGGCATGATGATGATTGTATAGCTCCGTCGCACCGGGGAAGGTGGAAGTGATTTTATAAGGGCTTCTTCGCCTAGTTGTGGGGGCTAAAGGAGAATCACTAAATGTTTAGTGTAATACTTAAAGGGTGCCTCCGGGAAGTGGACATAGGTCAATGTTTGACCGAACCACTATAAATTTGGTGTGTTCTTTCATTTATTATTTTTGTATTTATTTTTCGTTGCGATTAACTGTTTGGGTAAAATTGATAATCAATCTTTTTATTGTGAATGAAATTCGCTTCCACATAAAGTTATTAAAAGATATTTCTTTTCATTAAAGAAAATTTTAATCATCAAATTCACCCCCCTCTTGGCGCATCTCGCACTTTCAAATTGCACCTCTATCCTAATTTTTTAAGCATAAATATCAATGACACATAGTCTAGTCATAAGTATACCAAATGTTACATAGTGTAGGGGTTTGGTAATGATATTTGCTATTATATTTTTAGTATCCATGCATTGTAGTTCTATGTCCCCCTTTGCTACATGATTCATAATGAAATGAAGTCTAATATGTGTTTATTGATTGAATGTTGAATTAGCTTTTTGGAAATAAAGATTGTGCTTATAAAGAATCCAAAGTCAAGAATTTATTATTTCAACCATAAGACTTGGGAAAGAGAGCTTCTTATAACTATGTATTGTTCTTCAGAAACGAACGAGGCTACCAAATTTTGTTTTTTTTCTACAAGCAAAGGCAATTAAGGATTCTCGTATAAATTGGCAAGTTCTAGATATACTTTTCTTATCTACTCTACACCAGGCAAAGTCAAAATTTAAATATCCTTCAATGTCAAAGGTGGTGCTATGCTTAGAATACTAGATGCATAAGTTTTAGATGACTATCAAATAACTTAGAACTCTTTTAACTATAAGCATATGTGATTCCTTAAGATAAGCTTGAAATCTAGCTTATAAATATACACTAAATGTGATTTTTGGTTTATTAACAATTAAGTAAAGGAGTGATCATATCATTCCACTACATTTCTTTTGATCTACTAACATTCCATCTAGATCTTTATCTAGTTGATGGTTGGGCTCATTGGTGTATTTATACTCTTAGAATATTCTATATTAATTCTAACTTCCATTCTATATTAACACTGTCGTTGCCAAGTCCCAAGTCATGGATGAAAAAAGTGGAAGGTTGCATCAGGTAGTAGATAGCTAGCGTAAAACTTGTCTAATAATCATGACATACATCCTTTAAAATTTTTTGTAAATTCTAGGGCATCCCCTGGAAGCGACGCACTGTATGGCCTTAATATTCATAAGAAGATAAATATTATGTGCATCCAAGAAACTAAATAGGTTGGAGAGAAGGCCAAGGAGATTGATAGTTGAGGATATAAACTATGGTATTTTTTTTTTATGAATGCTAAAATTGCATAGAAAGTAAAAACAAAGCCTAATAACAAACTACTAAATGTGAGGAACTCTTACACACTCTTCCTTTACCATATTACAAAAGGAAGACGGTAAAACATTCTCACAAAACAAATCCCAAAAGAAATCTACAGAAAAAGCATGACTTGCACAAAAATCTGCTAATCTATTACAACTACGATTCACCCAATGAAAAATCACATTATTTACCTCAATCAGAAGAGAAGAATCTTTAATCACCAATCCTCTATCCATATTCTTTGGTATACTGTGCACTTTATGAAGAATATCAATAACATTCTTATTATCACCTTTTACTATAATGCCTTCAACTTCACAAAATATGCCCTGTAACTTCATATCTCTAATGATTGCCATCTCCAATTGGGCAATGTCCCAATGTATCTTCTTTCTTCCAAACGCAAGTAAGAACCTTCCTTTGCAATCCCTAACAATTCCTCCAATACCAGCTTCATAATTTCCCTTCAGAGATGCGTCGACGTTGATCTTGATCCAACCGGGGGGAGGAGGTTGCCATTTATCAAAATACAACCCATTGGACTGATTAACAACCCAGTTACCCGATTGAAAAGTCAGGGAATGACCCTGGCTAATAAAACTGAGAATAAAAATAGCAATGAACACATTTCTATCTTCCGGAATTCCATGCTTGACCTTGTTCCTGTGGTTCCAAACAAACCAAATAATAGTAAAATACAATTTTATCAACATCAAATTACCGTTTCTATGCTGCTTAAGATCTGCCAAGCATTCACACCACCCATTGTAAACAGGAATTTGAAATGCCCATCCTCTCAGCACATCCAGCACCTTGCGTAATTTACAACAGCAGGTAGTAATATGATTACAATCTTCCAATACCTCACAACCCATTGGACATAGTGAATTATCAGCAAGTTTTCTTCTGCAGAGGAAATCAGCTGTAGGCAAAGCATCCGAAAACAGCCGCCATAAGAACACCTCCACATTAGCATTCAATTTCAATTTATATATCCAGTTGAAAGAAACAACCCCACCCATGTTCTTATTCCTTTCTTCCATAATTAGAGCCGAGATAGACATCCCAGACATGTTAAACTTCAGTTCCATACTATCTCCAGACAAACATGGAGAAATCGGAACCATATAAATGAGATCAACAAGCTCAGTCCCAAAGAATTGCCTAAGTTTTATCCGATCCCAGCTACCACTCGTGATGAACCAATCCAGGGTAACATCTTCATCCTCAAATGTAGCAACAAATGTTGGCCATTTAATTAGAGCTTTGTCCAGAATCTATATATCCTTCAGCACACTAATTTTAAATCCATCATCCACCTTCCATCTAACAAGTTCTCTGATAGCATTCCAACCTGAATCCAGAATCTTCCAGGTGCTGGAAATCCTCCCATACAGCCTGTAATTCCACCAACTTTCTCCATACTTAGCATTAAGTTATCTTCTTAACAAAGATTCAGGATTATCAATCAACTTCCAAGCAAATTTAGCTCTCATAGCATCCCTCCTATCATAAATAGTATAGGTGTGATTATAGATAAAAGTTTGAAGGATAATGTTATATAAATTAACAGAAGTAGAGATAGAATTTTAACTTTAAAGATTGCTGTTGATGCTAAGATTGTTAATATTATAAGTGCTTATTCTTCTCAAGCAAGTTTGGATATGGATTCAAAATTAAAATTTTGGAATGAATTAGAAGAATTAATGCAAAAGATACCTCATGAAGAAAGAGTTTTTTTGGAGGAAATTTAAATGGACCTGTTGGAAGAGATGTTGATAATTTTAAAAGTATTCTTGGTGGCCATGGATTTGGAATGACAAAGAAAGGTGGTAAGACCATATTAGATTTTTCCTTAGCTTATGATTTCTTAATAGCTAATACCTTATTTAAGAAAAGATATGAGCATCTTATAACTTATAAAAATTGATATAGTAAAACACATATTAATTATTTTTTACAAGAAAATTAGTTTATTTAGATAGCAAAGATTATAAAGTTATTTCGAGTGAAAATTTATGAACCCAATATTAATTATTAGTTTTGGACTTTAAGATAAAGGGGAAGAAAATAAAAATAAAGTAAAACTATTTTCTTGGATTAGACTTGGGCATTTATAAATTTTTAATAAAGAGTAAAATTTTAGATATTAAAATTTTATCTATGCATGAGGATGCTAATATTATGTTGGAAAAAATGACTTGTGATATTAAGAATATTTCAAAAAATATGCTTGAAGTTTAAAAGGAAAAAGCTTGTAATAGTAAAAATAATTGGTGGTGGAATCCAAAATGTGCAAGGAAAGATAAAAAATAAAAAGATTTGTTATAAACATTGGTTTAGATCTAAAAATTATGATAATTGAAAAAACTATAAAAAGGCTTGTAAGGAATCCAAGAAAGCTATTTGAGATGCAAAGAACTTAGCTTTTAATGATTTATATAATATATTAGATACTAAAGAGGGAGAAAAATATCTAACCAAACAATGAGATAGACGTAGTAAGGTTTTAGTTCAAGTGAAGTGTGTTAAGGATGAAGATCAAAAAGTTCTTTTCTTAGAAGATGATATTCAACAAAGGTGGATGAGATATTTTGCTAAACTTTGTAATGAAGAATATAAAAATATCATTGACTTTATTGACTTTAGCACCCTAAATAAAAATAATTTTTTTTATCGGCGTATTAGTAAAATTGAGGTTAGAAAGCTTTAAAGAAAATGAAGTGTGGAAAAGCCGTTTGTCCAGATGATATTCCAATAGAGATGTGGAAATGCTTAGGAGATGAAGGAATTTCTTGGCTGACTAAACTTTTTAATACTATTTTGAAGATTAAAAAGATGTCAGATCAATGGAGAATGAGTGTGTTAATTCCTATTTTTAAGAATA